CATGTGACCTGCATTTTCTTGGAAGAGTGAGCAGGGTCTTATTTTGGAAGCAGCTAGGACTCCACTTTAGATTTTAGGAGTTTAACAGTAATTTGTAATGTGTGATATCACTAAATATTTTATTTGATGATGTCACCATTTGACTTTTAATAAGTACTCCAGGTACTAATTTTCAGAGTGGTTATATCATCTATTCATTACACTCTTTACCTTATATGGGGTACACTACTCTTTATTCAATTTAGATCATATCAAAGGACTCGTGTGTACCACTATGATTTTGAGTGGATCCCTAGTCAATTCCCAAGCTATTTTATTAAGCTATGCGCTGATGAAATATATCATTCTGATGGTGTTTGAAATCCTGCATTTAGTTCTCTTTTCCATATAATAAAGCATACAGATCCAATGTAATCTTTATAAACTGCAAACCCATCTTTGTAATTGAACACCCTTATCTTGCGAGACTTTGCCTCACTTGTAAAAGAATTTATTGATCATTTTCTTTTACCATAATCTTTATTTATCCAATGGCTATTCTTTGAAAGAGACACTCAGGTACTTTTGATTTTTAATCTGAAATTAGATAAAGAAAGCTGGAAAAACAACAAATGTGAAAGATGTAACTTAAGGCAGCTGTGAGTGAAATATGCTGCATACTTATAACAATGGAGGTGGGACAGTTAAGCTCTGAGTCACACCAATGTCTTATCCAATTTCAGAAGTCAAATTGCATTCTTAATTGTTTCTTAAACATAATATTATATTGTGTTTGTGCAGGTTTGGTGTTAGATGACAATTTGTTTCAATGTAATGGACATTTACAATGCCAGTAGTCTGTGTTGTTTGCTTGTTAAACCTCATGGAGACTTTGCTGTAACTAAATCAGATCTGGTCCAGTATTCTATATTCATTATTTCCATTAAATAGCATGTATATGAGTCACATAATCATGCTTTTGTAGGTTCTGTATCTCAGACCAGAAAATTTGAGACTGTTGTAAGAAATAAGGCCATTCGAAATTTTTTCTATGTTCAGCTTCTGTGTGTGCCTTTGTTTTTGACACCCCAGACCAGAAAAAGCACACAAAATTTAAAGTCCAGAAATTGATTATTTTGATGGAAACTTCTGAATTCTTTTTAGAGAATCTGTCAAATTAGAAAATACTTGGCATTTACCACCTTCATTTGCAAAGGAACATCTTTTTGTAAAAAAAAAAAAATAGAATAATAAAATCAAAAATCCTTTGAAAGATGTAATTTTTATGACTATAAAGTAAAACTTGTCTAATACAGACACCACTGGTTCCATAGAAATTGACCAGATTAGACAACATTCTGGATTAGACAACATTCTAAACTATCGAGTTTACTGAAAGGAACTTAAAGTTTTTAGGATATTAGGCAAGATCTCGGAATACACAACATCCAGATTAGACAAGTTTCACTGTATTGAAGTCTGAGGTTTTTTGGCTTGTGTGTGTGTTTTTTAATGGGTATCTAGGTTCTTGAATAATAGGTGGACACTAAACAGAGAAAAACTTGGAATGGCCTAATTGCAATCAAGCATTAATTTTAAAGCCCAGTACTTAGGCAGTTTCAGTTGACTACTTTCAGCTGATTTACCTGGTATTTTTCATTAGACAGTGTTAAAGAAAGGTCATTGAGTGCTGTGTATTTACATTTTCAACAATTTTCATAAGCTTCAGAATGTGGTTGTTTCAAAGTGTAATGTAGTCTTGTTTAACCAAATATTTGTCTGTCTCCGATGAGCAGATTTTAATATAATGGTACTGATGTACACAGTCTTCTCATCATAACCTTAGTAGACCAAGACAGCAATATATGACTGCATGGTGTTCAGTTAGAGCAAATGGTTAATGTTTCAAAGAAAAATAGTTGATATTTTATCTACATCGAGTAAAGAAAGCTTGAATAAAAGGATGAATATTATATCTCCAGACAGCATGTTACAATAAGTATAGATGTTATCAAGTTTGTCACACCTTGTTGGTGCAGACTTGCACCTCAACTTGCCGAGTACTTTAAATCTACCCAGTGATTGGAAAGAGAATGGTGTACCTGAGTTCACTGGGTTATCTAAAAAAGATGTCATGCAGTGGATTGATCCATTAGAATTTTTTGTCAATAGAGCGGGACTCAATGTCTGCAGGCTAGAGTATGAAATAACATGCATTGGTATTGGGAAAATATAGAAACTTCAAAAAGTCATACAACACATGTTGTTCAATCTGGTCAATTAAAAGGGAAAAAGAAATGTTTTCATTTATGTATGTTTGGAAATCAAAGGCATTAGGTGGAAATAGAGACCATATTAGATTGTACCTTTCCTGATTCCATTTATCACTTAAAGTTTCTAATTTGATTTTTTGGCCAATACCCATCTATTGCTTCAGTTTATTGAAAACTGGGAGTATTATAAAATATCTTAAATCTTGAAAAATTTCTGATTGAAGCAAATGCAGCCAGAAGGAAATACATTATGGATTACATTGGCCAAAATGGAGTCAGATTGGCAGACACATCAGTCACCATTGTTGGTGGTTTTTATTAGGTTCTATAATTTTGAAATTTCTATTTTAATAAAGGGTAAAATATATACTACTGTAAAAACAACAACAACAAAAACAAATGTAATAGACTTTAAATGTGGCTTGTAATTGACTTTTATGTAAGGTATAGATGTATTTTCCATGGCAGCTTATTCCTGCATAATTGATTTTTTTTATGACCATGTGTCATCTGTGTCCCTTTAGAAGGACGTACAATACTGTATGGCCTGTATGATACAGGTATGTGGCCATTGATTAGAAACCAGTGTCGTAATCACAGTCCTGATAGATTTTATCTACAGACACAAAATTGACTGATTTGGCTGGGAACTTAATGGTCTGCAACAGAAAAGACTTTGGATACCTTTATCATGGAAACTTCCTGTTCTTTATGGCTCAGTATCTGAGGAAAATGATAAAGAACCAAGGAGTCACAAATGTCAGTTCCTACATGCATCGCCTCTTTAACTCAAAATAGAAAGTTCTTTCTCACCTTGCCATTAGTTTTGGTCTAGGTAATTGTGTTGGCTCGATTTAGTCCAATTTGATTAATCTATGCTATAAAAGGCATAATGTTAAGGACCATTTCATAAATAGAGCCTTATTAATTTTCATGAAAATTCAATCTTTTCTAAAACTGAACCATTACCCAGGTGCATAACAAATGGCCATAGAAATTGGTTTGTGACCCTCATGATTCATTGAAAGTAGAAAGGTGTGTGATTGAAAGTAATTTTCCCCATTAGGATAGATATCTCTATGAAAGAAACACATTAAAATTTAACAGGGCATAAGGTATTGAGCCTGTCAATTCACTAAACTGAATGGGTTCCTATATTCCTGTAATAATTGATGACTCAGTATATGATATCAATAAACTTATAACTGCAAGTATATCAGTTAGTTAACATTTCATTTGAAGTCATTGGTGACAAAATATATTGCTGGGTTTTTGGCAGGTATTTGCTTGATTTTCACTATAACCATTTTTGTTCAGTATAAGAAGTCCCCTTGTCCTTGCTATATCGGAAGTATTTTTAAGACTGTGAACCTCATGCATGTAGATGTCCGGCAAGCTGTTGCTGGGACCCTCTTGATCTTGGGAGTTAGAGATGTTAATTACTTGTAGATATAAATTTGGATGTTTTCTGCCCCCAGATTCTGTAAAACACTTGATAAAAATTAAGAAGGAAAGGAATTTTACATGCAGACCAGCTAGCAAAGAGATTGGACCTGTTTTGAGAAGTCTTCCAAATCCTATCATGAAAAAAAAAAAATCAACCTGTTTCCTGGGCACACCTTAAAAATTAGTTTACTTAACAGTGATTAAAAGAATCAGTGGACCCAAGGACTACTTAAACAAACAGAGTCTCATCTCATTAAAAGACATTGTGCATGTAATGTCATGCACCAAGGATTAGAAGAATTACAAACTAAATTATGTATTCAAAGTCAATTCCAGTCTCTTCATTTATAAAGAATGAAATTTTCATGGGACAGTTTGTTGCTGTAGGTTTTATTGATTTTTGTTATTTACACACATCCAGTAATATCTGTCCTGTGGGATATTTTATGGACCAACTTCACGTTTTCAAGTTTAATGTATTTGTCCACTACCTAGCAATGAACAAGTGGCCTCTGTTTTTTATATCTATTTAATGTTGACACAGACTTTTTCTCTGAAAATGCCAGTACCATACCAAGAAATATACACCTTGTTGTTTGGAATAGCCCTGCTTTTAATTAGTTTCACATGGAGTTGATGCTTGGGATCTTGCATTGCATTTTTAAGATTTAAATATTTGTTATAATTAGTCGTTTTCATGTAAACTTTAAATAATTTTAACAAGTAACTTATGTTTGCACACTTATTTTGGAGGTGAATAATCAACAGGTCGACTAAATATTTGAGCATTTATCTCACTTTAAAATCCGTACCGAGTGTTGACTATTTCAGTATAATAATGGTAGAAATTGCAGGCTGATATCCAGTTAATATACAAATATTTTAGTAAGGTAGAGGGTTTTTAAATGGAAGTATTGACATATATATTTGAATTCATTCATGACGAATGGGCCACCTTGCTAAACCTTAAATACGATCTGTAAAAGCTATTGAAGAACTGCCAATCCTTCACTGATCCTTCTAAAAGTGGATGACTTCTCTTGGCCTTGCGTCAACAAAGAGTTATCCCCAGAAACTTTAACTGTTCTTAAAGAATTGGTTCCGTACTGATTAACATTTGAAACTTTTTCTTGAAGAGATAGTTACTAAATACAACTTATAAAGACTTATTTAAAAACTCTCATTAAAAGAATGTAAAATAAAATGTGCAATTTTAAAGAATTCATCAATGCTTAATAGTCAGGTATCTTAGTATAATTATGTAGTGGTCAAAGGGAAATAACTCTTTTTTTTTTTTGACAGGAATCTAGCAGATGTCAACAACGACAACCTTTTAAATGTTGGCGAGTTTATGGTAGCCGTGCATCTCATCAATGGAGTTCTAAGAGGAAGACTGGTTCCAAAAGTTTTACCAGAGAACGTCGCTGTCACAGAACAAGCGGAGGTGCCAATCGAGGTCCCCTCTGTCTCTGAAAGGGAGGCGTACAACAAGGTGTTCCAGAGATATGACCAATTAGGAAAGGGTTTTATTACTGGTAAGATCAAAGGAAGAAAAAGATGGTTTCCTTAATGATTGTTGTATAGTCTTAAAATGCTTAATGAAATCTTTGGTTATTTAGAAAATTAAAAGTTAAGTAAATTGTCTTTTGCCATGGAAGATATCCCAGATTCTTTGCCCCGGCAGAACTGGTCAAATGTTCTAAATGTAATAGGAAAAAATTTATGGCTGGATTGAGAATTAAACCTTTGGACCCCTCCATTACTAGTCAGGTGCTCTAACCACTGAGCTACCCAGGTTGATATCCTTGGTTCATATAGCCAAAACTACTACACAGTTACCACAAAAAAGCAATTAAATAAAATGTCCAGATCAAAAAATTACTATACATGCTCCAATAATGCTCGTATTTTTCAGATGCAGCAATTTATAGTAAATCTTCAAAAACCCCAAAGAGCAGATATACCCGGTACTAAATTCTATCTCAAGCCTAATGGGTGCAATCTATCCAATTACGCAACAGTTATTGTCTGCAAGTAATAAAATGGTCTAGACGTCAAAGAGTTCATAATAAGCAAGGGTTTATCAGTTTATGTCAATTAAGCTTTAAACATGAATTGTGTGATAGGATTGGATGTGTTGAATAATATTTCTCAAGGATATTTTCTTGTACTAGTAATAAAATGTATTTACACTTCAGTGTGTGATAACTTTTTCTTTGTCTGAAAAGATTTTGACAAATCCAAGAATGGGAATATTAAAGTTGGTTCAGTATTGAACTTAAACATTTTCCTCACCAACACATGAATGACTGTGTAAATTTCAATACCCCTATCCCTACTTGTATGGCTTGAAATTCTTTCCCTAGATGTCAAATTCCAAAGACAAAAGAAAAATTTAATGATTTGGAGATCATAAATTTTTAAACCTTATGAAAATCAGTTTCAAGGGAAGGTGAAAAAAATAATTTGGCCATGTAATATACCCCATACCCACCAGAGGCAAGTATAATGTACTTTTGTAGTCAAAGTATTGTACAAATACTTCAACTTTTTAACCATATATAGTCACATATATTCATGTGTATTGGTTATTAGCTTTTGAAGGACTTTCTAAATTACATGTATATTTTTTTCAGTTCAATTATATCAGGGGATTTAATTTTTGAGAACAAAATTGAGTTCAAAATGTCATGGAACAAAATAAATTGCATACTGCACTAAAGTTATACATGCACTGTAAATCACCTTTTATTCTTGAGAACTTTATTTTTGTATAAATACGAGACTGTTTACTTGCAAAAATTTCATTTTCATATGAATTTTACAATAAAAGATTACAAACAACAATAATTAAAATCTGTGAAAATTCTGTCTCGCTAATAAATATCAAAGTTGAAACAGTGATCTCACAAAATGAGGAGTCACAAAAATGTTGAGATCTACAGTATTCTCAATCCACTTTTTCTAAATACAGTTTTCTGGGATTCTAAAAAAGAAATTAACTAATTTTCAATTTTGTTCAATAACAGGTGAAGATGCGGTTGAAATTTTCAAGGAATCTAAGTTGGAATCAGAGAAGCTGGCCTCAGTTTGGGATTGGAGTGACCTAAACAGAGATGGACAGTTGAGCAGTGATGAATGGTTGGTGGCCTGCCACCTCCTTAGACATCTGAAAAATGGTCAGTTATTATTTCTGTCAATTATGTGTATATTAAAAGCATTGCACAGACCTCAGTCTGATTATTATCAAACCTTCCACTAGTTCCTTTCTTCTGATTCCAAGTGACCATCAGGATAAAGGAGCTAGTGGAAGGTTTGATTTTAATCAGACTGCATGGACCTTTATTTCAATTTTATCAGATTTCTTATAAATTCTATCAAATTGCTTATTAATTTCATTGTTTCTTTTTTTCGTGTTTCACAGTGCAATAAATCACACTGATTGATAAATTTTAAAATAACTTCAGTTATAAACTTGCATTCTGTACCATTTTAAATGTTATGTTTTATCATTTTTGTTTTCTCCAACATTTTGTCATAGTGAAGTCACATTTCAACTTGCTGCAGTATATATAAGGGAAACAATTGTGGAAAATGAACTGAATTTTGGGGAAAATTTAAAATAGACTAAGCTTATAAAAGCTTAAAATTGTTCAAAGTCTTACCCATTTTTTTTTTTTTGAGATGCCTTTAAAAAATAAAATTTTACTTGAAATATAATAATTGTTTTAAATGAGTTGATATTGATTTGAATGTGTGTAAACATGGACAACACATTCAAGCTTAATGATTATTGAAAACTCTGTAAACCCTCATACAATCACACATACAAATGCAAGACAAAATAGTGGTTTAATACTGAAATCCTCAGCACCTAATCATTGTAGTGCCATAAAATGCTAAATGAAGAGAGAATGGACCCTATATGTTATCTAACTAATCACTTCTTTGACAGCATTATTGGCTGTGTCTACCTTGATGTAAATGTATTGACAAATTAATCCAATGAATGGAAATTCATAATCAATACTTTCAGGGGGTTATAGATTTTTTACTTGATAAAAGTAACTCAAGGTTTAGTGTGGTTATTAGAATTTGGTTTTCCAGAACTTTGGTAAGAATCCTTAGATTTTTAGTGATTATTGATTTTACATACATATAAAAACATAGAAAAAACAGAGTCAATATTCAATAATCTATCAAAGTTTTACTTTGACACTAAATGGATTTCCTATATCCCAAAAAGTTATGTATACTGTATATTTCTCATATGCACTTGCTTGCACAGATCAGCGTTTCACTGAATTTATTTGAAGAGAGAGGCTAAAGTTTATCATCTCATTATTTGCCCAGTTTATTTTTTTTCATTATACTGAAAAAGAAATAAGTTTCGAGAATTTAAAGGCAATAATATGTATATTGTGTCAAATTGAATATTGAAAAAAAAAGAAACCATGAAGGCTTTATGCAGAAATATCAAAAACAGGAGTTAATTTGAGAAAAATAAAGCCTGGTATTTCAGAGGATTAGCAAATTTTATGCTTCATACTTTATTTTTTTTGAAAAGTTAATTAATTTGGCCTTATTTACTTATTGTATATTCTTCAAAAACAATTTTAAATTAAATGGTAGATTTTTTTTTCTTTTTATAGACAGTTATACTAGAGTAATTTTTGAATTATTAATCAAGTAAATGAATGCCTTACTGATTTTCAGTTGCTAACATGATACAAATTCATGCTTCAATGTTATTTCATTAGAATTTATCAATTTCCATTGTCCAGAGTTTAAAGTCTTACACCATATAAATAGTTGGATTTGAGGCTTATCATTGCAGAATCTGCCTCCATTAAATGTTTAAACCCTTTATCAAACAAAGGCATCAAACATTTCATTAGAATTAAATAGTGGGGTTCATGACACTGGACAAATATATGCAGTTTGTTTTTATTGACAAAAGAGAATTCAAGTTTGTGCAGATGTGGGTGAATCCTTGATTGGCAATTCTTATATCTTGCAGGAAATTCTTTGGAAGGTGTTGTGAATCCATTTAATGTGGTTCCCCATAAAGTTTCACCAAATTCACTTCTGGCTCGAAAAACTAGGTATGTACATTTTCTATTGCAGCAATTTGTAATTTTATATTCTGTACTGGCATCCATTATTCAGCATAATTCTATCAAGAAAATTGATATGTATATGATGATGGTAACTTTAATTGTGTAACTGAAATGGGAAAACTTAGACATTTTTGTTTAATGTTTTTTTAAAAAAAAGTGAAATCTAGTTTCACGTTTTTGAATCAGTAATTATCAAATGTGATGACACATTTGTTTCAGATATTAAGAAATGTCCATTACTGCTAGTGTCACTTTTGATCTGATCATTTTTTTCATATTACATGTATTCCTATGTGAGCAATTTACATCATGCAGACAACTTTTTGCAATTTTCAGAATCGAAGAATATGAAAAGCACAAGCAGAGGCTTATGCAGTTGAAGGTATTTAAAACATGACAGGATCTTTGGTCTCTAAGCAAATCTTTGTTTAGAATTAGCCATCTTGAAACAGGTTTGCATGCAAGAGTAGTTGACTAAAAAATTGATTTAAAAAAAGGGGACAATTAACTTTTCACAATGGAATTGAAAAAAATTCAAGCTACATGCACTAACGAGTAGCAATTAATGTAAACTAGACCAAATGGACATGTAACATATTTTTTTTCTGAGGAAGACTGTTTCCTGACAATTTTATCTTACTAATATTCACTTGCCCAGGCATTCATTAGGGATTCACAAAAGTGAAGTGTATGCTCAGCAAGTACTGACCAAATCATGCTATAAAAAGTGTACAGATACCATAAAAAATCCAAAGAAACTAGTGCCGGTGTTTGTTTTTAGATGTTATACATGTACATAAGGGGCACTGATCCAACTCCTCCATCCATCAAACTGTGGTCCGAGTAATGTCAGACCCAGTGATCCCCACAGAGCTATTTATAGGGCCATGACCTTTGACGAAAATCTTATTGTCCCTCGAAAGAGTTTTTTGTTTGAACATGGCTGAGTAAAATATGCCTTTGATTGCGAGCTGTTCCAAGTTTTCTCTACATATTAGTTCGTTGTTCATTGCCTCTCTGTGGGTAAAAACAAATATGGCTTAATGTTTCCAGATGGTCATTTAACTTATAACTATTGACTTTGGCTATAAAGCTCTTACAAAATAGACAAGCTATTCATATTATCACCAATGTTGCAAGTCACCCTCTGAAGTAGATATTATTTGAAGACAAAATGACATATTTGTTTTGACCAAAGATTTACAATCTCTTTGAAAGCTTGTATGGCATTTGAAGGGCATGAAGTACCCTGATTTTATAATGTTTTTAAATAGGAAAAGCGAAAAGTGCAAATCCAGAGAGAAAGTCAAAGACTAGAGCTGGTGAAAGAAAAGAAACAACTTCAAGAACAACTGGTATGGATTTTTTTTCATTTACCTTGGGGTTGTATCATTCAATGAAAAGACTTTATAGTTGCAGTTAGATGTAATTACATGTTTTGATGTGGAAATGTAATTTTTTCCCTCCAATTGGATACTTTTTTTTATATATATATTTAGAGTGTACCTTGTACATGCAAATCAACTTAATATAGATTTTAATGTTTTTTTGAGAACACATTGCATAAGCATATATGTGTTCTAGCCAGTGTTTATAAATCTTTATGGTCATATTTTTAGGTTACTTGTCTGAAAAGTAGCAGCAATAACCCACTGAGTGAAGAAGAAATCAACCAACTGGTTCAAACTGACAAGGATAATTTGGAGAAACTAGAAGAAGTAGTTGCAAGGTATATTAAGCAGTACACAATAGGTGATTTCAATCTGAAAACTGTCAATTAATGTTAAACTATAAGTATATTGGTATTTCTTTTAGCAGTAATGACTACATGTATTTTCAAAATGTGACAGTTATTAAATACACCCCCTTTGTGGGGGGGGGGGGATCTTTAGCACAAATATTTTACCACCAAAACACAAATATCATATACCCATGATATTAATGAATACTAATTTATATATTTTGAAATTTATGATTGAGCTAAATGGTGCTTGACATACATATTTTTCCTAATGTTAAATGCACTAAAATAAAAGTGCACACATGTCTATCATTGTGCATCATTTTAGGTTTTGTAAAAGATACATTTCACTCATTTTCATTGTAAAATGAGTTAAAGTTTCTGTAGATATTTTGGTCTCAGTAATGTTTTCTGTGCAGATTGAAGAAGGAACATGAGCAGATCAGACAGGAAACAGTTCAGGTGATTCTTGGGGAGCAGAAGTTACAGGTGGAACATCGTCTGCTAAAAAACGAACTGGATGAACTTAATAAGGTGAGAGGTCAAAGGTTACTTCAGTGTCAGATTGGCTCTTGCTGTTATGTTTTTTTTTTATTGCCAAATGAATCCTTCCTGTATAAAAAAAAATAATGCCTTTAATGGTAACTTGAACTACAACTTACAATAATTTGACAATTATGACAAAGTTATTATCTAGCTCCAAGAATTGGAGATTATGTATGCCAATCTAGGGTTCTCAATGTACATGTAACCCAAGAAGGAACAAACCATTGAATAAGGAATCAAATCTGAAAACTATTTTGTTGGCTTAATTTCCATTGTAGAATCCAAATTATCCTTAACACTTGTAGTGTTTACTTCTGTGGTGATTAAACTTGACTTTTGACTCCTGAACTTAAATTAGACCCACTAAATACAGTAATTAGGTCTTACCTGGCATACCATGAAAAAGTTACTCCAAATGATTATAAACCACTGCATACCCATTAAAACTGCTAATCTTATTACAAGGAATTTACATGTAAAGCTCTTGTTGCTTGTGCAGTAGGTACTTTTAATTATTTATTATAATTTGAATTTAGTATTTCATAATTAGCGTAGTTTAGATATTATTTTTGATATTTTATTTTTTGTTAAAGCAATTCATTAAAGCAACAATAAATGGTTTTTGCTCAGTTAAACATGGGATGTAAATTCATGGCTTATTCTGTTTGAATGTTTGCAGAGGCTAGGAAGCCAACACACAAAGGCCACCAAAGATCCAGATCCATTCCATCAACTGTATGAACAAAGAAAAGGTTCGTTATCTTTTTCTGTTACCATGTACAACCCTAGTTAAACACAAAAATGTTCTAGCTACCTCACTAAATTTTCAAAGATGGAGGAATATCGTTTTTATTCAATTTTGTATAAAGATCAGTATTATCCAATTTTTCGCAAATATTGGAGAACATAAAGTTACACCAGTATTTTTTTAAGTTAGAAACCATACAAGAAACATGCAGTTAAGTTAGTTATTGTGATTTTCTTTCTTGAGCATTTACTCTTTCTCATTTGCTATTCTAGACTTTTTGGGGTATATCATATATTTGATAATTTTCAGAGGAGAGAAAGAAAAGTAATTTATCTGAGGGGGAGGAACCTGAGGTCCATCTGCCATTCAATCCATTCGATACTGAGTCCCTCCATCACAGTTCTGTCTCAGGGTCACACTTATTTTTGAGCCAAAACTCACTGAACAACAACAACACAAAGCATCCACCAGAGACACAGGCTTTTCTGGAGAGTCTTCACGAGTTCGGGGAAAATTTTCTTGAATTCTGGTCAGACACTTCTACCTCCATGTCAGCTACAGATGAAATGGCCAACCAGGAGGAGGATCCAGTGTTTAAAACTGTAGAAGGTGTGGAATTTAGTTGTTACAGTAAAACACACTTATAACAAAGTACAAAGGATGAAAGATTTTTGCTTTGTTGTAAGCATAATTCATTATATCCGTTAAGTTTAAAATGTAAAAGTTTAAAATTTTAAAGTCACTGGGAATGAAAATCACTTCCCTGTAAGTTTCAATTCTTTCTAAGCATGTTTGCTATAAGCATGTTTTACTGTAGTTAATAGAGTGCATCACAAATATGGTGATTTACTCAGAAGTTTATTTAAATTCTATCTTCTATGTGTGTTTATAATATTCTGAATACTTGTGTAAAGTATTTGCAAAAAAATATAAATCAGACTAGAGTTAATTATTCCTTGTTGTCTCAGACGACCTTAGCTTTGATCATGTCGTAGGTTGTCTTGTATTATTACACCTCTGTTGTGTATTTACAGTGTCCGATGACAATGACCCTTGGTTGGGTCTGAACTGGGGCCAGAATAAACTGGCTGCCCTCAGTGACCAGAAATTCTGTGACCTGCACCGGAAACTGGTAGACCTCAAGGCCGAATTCCAAAAACTGAACCAGGAGTCGGGTGGACAACTTGTATTTGTAAGTACATGTGTACTGGATTTTAGTGAAGCATTTTATCTCTTTCTTGACTACTTCAGAATACAAGTATGTGCTTAAAATTAATAGATAGTGGAGTGAATATTGATGTGGCAATTAATAAGACTTGTCTCTCTTTCCTTCCTGTAGAAATTGGTATAAAATGTAGTACACGTAGTTTTAACAACAGTATTTTACTTTTTAGAATGTTCTGCTATTATCTGCTGAGTAGAATAAGAGAATAAAAGATAAAATGTCTTACAATCATGCACATTAAACAACTGCCAGATTTTATGCAAGTTGTGTGCAAATATCTTGCCTTTAAATATAAATCGCAGTAAAGAAAAGCAAATAGCTCGTAGTCAGATCCTTATAATTATGTATTTAAGCCTTATGTCCGTATTTACAGACTTTATTTCTCTTGTCATTTATACATAGAGAGTTTTTTTTTTCTTTTGAAGTTCTACAAACATGACCCCTTTAATCTGGTCAAGCTTATATAAACTGAGAGCCCTTAGACATATCATACCTTCTGTCTTCCTGTATGCTAGAATAGATGAAAACCTTTAATGCCAGATAACACTGAGCCAATTAACCACTTATTATGTAATTCTCAGATGTGGAATTTTTATAAATATTATTTATTATAATTTATAGACAGAGAGTCTGTTTAAAAATTTGAAAATAAATCTTTATAAGATTTTCATAAACTTTTGCACCTGATGTAGAGAGGAAAAAGAAAAGAAAGAAATATAAAACCATGGATTTAAATTGTGGAATGGACATTTTATCAAGTGATGTTTAAAGAATTGGGACAAAGCTGGTAACATGGCAACACTTAAGATGCCTGTAGCCAGAATAAGAGATTTAGTTAGATATGCCCACTCTTCTGTAGGTTTAGACTTCCATTTAATTTATTATCTATTTTGTCCTAGATATCTTTTCCTCTCATAATGCAGATCATCCATTGTTAAGATCTGTTCTTTTATTTTGCTTTTGTGACAATATTTGTGGGAAAATGGGACCGTTTTCTTGCGTACATATCAGTTTTTGCAGCGTCTTGTTTTGAAGACTTATTCTTTATGTAGTAAGGTTATAGCCCGTATTTTTATCTGATGTTTTTTTTTCTTTTTTGAAGTTCTTCTGATGGGCTATCTTGTCTTTTTAAGCATACATGCCTTGTGTAAGAAACATGTACCATTCAGATTTTTTTGTATCCTTTTGTTGCACCAGTACTGTAGGTGTTAGGTTGAAATACTTTTCAACAGACTTTAAAAAAAAAGGATCATTGTACAGATAAAACAACACCAAAACAACCACATATTTACGTTGTACAGATTTTGACCAAATTTGGCATATCTCCTGGTTGTGACTGGGTATAGGTATTCAGTGCGGTTCTTGTGATTGGAAGGTTTGCAAACAATTAAATAGACAATGGCACTTCTATGCCTTTTTAAAAACACAAAAGAAAATGGAATTATAGTCTTTGCATACATTATTCCACCCATTGTAGCCAGCATTTAATTTTATTGAGTAAAAGACCCAGTTGGCAAGAGCATTTTCAATAACATTTCAATTAATCTTTCCTCACTTTTCAAACTTTTGTGTGAATGGACTTGCTGGGGAGATTTGGGTAGGTACACTTGTTTGGGCAGTGAATGTTAGTATAATTTTAATCGTTGACTTGAAAATTTTTGTTGGCTTAATTAATTAGCAAATTAAGGTATGTAGTAATTATTGTTGTTTGGATTTGAATACTGCATCAACAACATCTTTTTTTTACTTGATAATAAATAAGATGAATCATATTTAACAAAATTTGAATGCCAACTAATCTCTGCTAAAAATGTGATAATCAGAAGAGATGGTAAATAGTTCATTTAAAACCATTTATGAGTGGGATAGAATGCTAGTTATTCACCACACATAATATCAATACAGTGCCAATATTAACAGATATATTTCAAGCTACGAATTTGTTGCAATTCATGAGTATGCAACTTACTTGTATTTTTAAAGAAATGAAGGTTTACAGTTGATTAACTTTCAGAAATTATATTCAGAAGTGATCTTTGGCTGTTAACAGCTAGGAAATTAAATTAGAAGAAATAGAAATTCATAAGTTGCAGTTTCATCTTTTATCATTGTTGATGTTTTTTTTTTTTGTTTTTTTTTTTTTTTGGAAATGAATGCCATTAATTTTCAATATTGAATCAGATATACTGTATAATGGACAGCTGCAGAAAATATCCTGGTAATTTGATCCATGTAAAATGATAAGATATATTTGTTATTAGAACATATTGATGCTTTGAATTGATTTGGTTTCTTACAGAACAGGATATTAGGAAAAAAAGTTTTCAATAAAACTCAATTCACTAAGCTCTTTTTAATTTTTCTGAAATGAGAGAACATATCCTTATACCATTATCTGTGACTTAATTATTCTGCAAGTCATAATCCAAAATAACAAGAAGCTTGACAACTAAGGAATTGTGTATTATCACATTTGTTTACACACCTTTAGATTTATCAATCATGATTTGAAGATTTCTCCATGACTAGTTAAGTTCTATACAAAAACTGATAGAGTTATTTGCTTTAATATCACACAGTGTTATGAAAACCATGCACAATTGAAGAGTTTGAGACACACAATCTCTGAGCAATTTCCATTCTCTTCTCAAACACTATGGTATACCTCTTACAGAGTTGACATGAATGTGAACAAAACAATCTCTCACAATCTGGGTATAAAATTCTGCATGTTTATTGATTTGTTGTAGAGATTAAATGTTTGTCAACTACACTTTCCTTCTTAAAACGTGAACTTTATAGACCAGTAGTGTTTAACTGGGGGGACAAGTCTTATCAAAAATGTAAATTCTTCAACCCCCTTTTGAGAAGAGATTTTGAAACTAAAAGCTCATAATCCAATATTATGACCAAACAAGCATATTCAGTTTGACTCTTAATATCCCAGGGGTTTCTGAATGGAACTGAGTACGTCTTAGTCTGATTCACTTGAAAGAAGAGTCACAAAAAGAGAACATTTCACTATTAAATTGAATAAAATACAAGCTGGTGACAAGAAATTGCAATATTTGATGTTTATTTTTGCACTGAAGTTTCATAGGTTGTACATAGACTTAATTATAGGTGCTCAACAGAGTGTCACATTACACCCTTTTATCTACATGCAGAAGTTCAATACCACATATGTTTTGTATGAATGAAAATATTTTGGTTCGATATAGCCTTTAAAAAGCTACAAGTGTTTTGTATTGAACCTCATTTAGAATAGAAGAACCTATATGACTGATATACAAAGTCATCGAAGAGAGACGCACTACTATTACGAATCTTGATCCACAAATGCAGGATTATCTGAAGAGGGTAGATTTCTGTTTGTTCTTTTGGATAAACTTTTGAAACTTTGCTTATCTTTGAACTGGACCCAGGCCAAAGACATTTTTGGGGTTGAGAAGTGACAATTTTTACATTGTAATCTGCAAGGAATTTAATGCAGATGGTTTTAAGTTAAGGATTATAATAGAATGATGGAGATTGAGCATTGCAAATTGAACTTGGATACAAAAAGAAGAAGTAAAATCCCTGTCAGGGTATTTATTATTCACTATTTATTTTTCATTTTGTTAATTTATTTATAAAAGTCATATTTATTTTTGAAAGTACTAGTTTTCAAGAAATGATTTTATATCTTGAAAATAATGAGATGTCTTCTTTTTTTCATAGATAAAGAATGGGGTCTGTATTTAAAAAAAAAAAAAAGATTTGCTTATTTTCTGATCTTTTCAAAAGGTCAGTTTTTTGGTTGCTGATGTTTATTAACTCTGAGTTAAAATTCATTTTTTCTTTAAACAAAAGTGTGCAAATTAATTAAGTAGGACTTTGCATGTTGAAATAAGGGTGAAATGAGGTATTCATATTTTCTTCCTTCATAAGAACTGAAATTGGAACATCTATTAAGGCTTCTTGTTCCCCAGCTGGCAATTATTTCTTTTATATATATAATGAAGGAGTTTTATAGACATTCACTGGAAAAATTAGAAAATTTGATGATATTGAAGTGTACACTAAACATATTACCATACCTAAGAAGATAATCAGTGAAGTGAATATCACATCCTTCAGTAAATACACCCTATAATGATAAATAGTATTTCTGTAATATACCAAAGCCAATTCTTTGCATGCTATGAGAAAAAAATAACTGTATTGTCCTCCTTATTTCACTGTCTGAAGTCAGCTATAACATTACATAGAAATTTTAATTCAAATGTATTTTCTCATTTCTGTGATATTTTACCTGTTTGTACAATAACTAATCGCTTGTTGTACATTTTCACACCTGACATGAGATTGCATGTGTGCCACCAAGCTTAGATTAAGTTTGATAAATGGGGAAATGATGTTCTTTTAGCCTGTGACATATGCTTTACATCGAGTTCCCAGTCTAAGACATTGTACGTAATATAGTCTGAATGTAGGAATATAACAGCTGGAACTTTGACAGACAGGTAGGCAAGGACTCTTGTGTTTATGGGATATTATTTCACGTCTGATTTTAATTTTCGTTTTTTTTAAAAAGACATATGAAGTAATGCTTGACTTTTCTGGACTGTTTCTGGATCCTTTACTCTCCTGTTTAAAAAATATGATACTTTTCACTTTCAAATTTTCAGAAAGAATATTGGATTAATGTATGAGTTTTTTGTTGACATGTAGCTTTGATAGCAATTCTTAGCAAATATTTAGATCAGTCAATATATGATCGATGAAGTTGTCAAGCCAACAATATTTCTCTTCTTTTCATATCATATTTTAGTTAAATCTACTTTTTACAGTATAATTGGTCAATTTCCGTAAATCTTGTAATATTCTTTTTATGTAATAATCCTTTGATGATGATCACTTTTGTTGCACTGTATATGGGGAACAGGAAATGCAGTTTAGATGGCCAGGGTACTTGTATTTTATAACTTCAAATATGTTGGCCTTTTTAATGTTCTAAAAAATTAGAAAGAAATTGATCTGAATATGTTGCCTTGCGCAAAGTAATTCATCTTCATGCATTGTACGTCAACAAACATAAAAATCTTCATAAATGTTTAGATTAACTCATTATAAATGCAAAACTTATGCATTAAGTCTTCATTGAAGGAAACAAAGATTTTAGTGTTAGCATCAAGTTCAGGTGTCCCCTGTATTTATTTGTCTTTCAATCTGAATTTATTTTAAATTCTAATGAATATAAATATTTGGAACAATAGAATTTTTTTTATTATTTAGAAGCTATGTAAATTTCAACACCTTAACTACAACACATTAAGAACACTGGTAAGAATTAGGGTATGAAAATAAGTCATTTTATTTGCATGTACTAATAATAAGCAAGGTAAGTATAAAACTTGTAATTTAAGAAGAAATAGTGATCAATTAAAGTGACCAAGCACCTGTTGTAAGCCAAGGGCACCTGATGTATCATATTTCATGAGCTAGCTGTCACAAATATTGGTCAGTAAAATGCATAGTGATATTGAAGTATTTGACAACTGGACATCATTTTAAACTTTCATACTTGACCATTGGTCAGTTCTGTAAATTTACATTGGGATATGAGTGGTCTTTGAGGTTTCCGTACATTTCTGAAGTCCAGAGCTTTTCATGCCGTTGTCGTAAGGGAACATTAACATGTACCCTGCCCTGATTGCTTCGTGAAGTGTCAACAATCTGAACTTTATAACAACAATACCATACAATGCTGGCAAATGCTCCATGGTTGAATGATTTAACCGAGAGAAGTAAAAATTCAGTCTTGGCCTCTCCCCTTCGGAGCTTTTTTTTGACTTCTTACTTGGAAGAAGCAACCATTTTTGGACACGAAATTTTTCGCAAGGAATGGTGAAATGTGTTGATTAAATTCTTTTGTATAATTGAAAAAAAGGAAAACATGGCTTTATCAGTATTGAAAGGATTGACCAAATTAAAGGTAAATTACTTTTGTGTATTTCTCTAGAATTTAAATAACATTTTTTAAAATATTATTTATGTTTAGATTTGATATCATCATTTGATCTCTACTCCGTTTAATAGGATTTCAGCACTTAGACATATTCAGCTACAAATAATAGATTTAATTTTGTCAATATTGAAAGGAAATCTTTGAAAATTATGTGGAAGATTTTTTTCAATAAGTAAGCTCTTTTGATGATTTTATTAGATGTGTCCTCATTTATAATTTTGCAAAATTGGAAGATTTTACAACAGATGGGAGAATTTTTTTTTCATTGACCTATTTAACAAAAAAGACTTAACAAACGGTTCAATTCAGGATATAACATACTTTCAGAATATCAGATGACTAGAGTTAAGAATTTGATTGCTTGGTTAAGCAGTGCGTAGAATGTGTATCACTGGATTGATTGAGGGTTTAATTGAAATTCTAGGGTTAAAAGACTAGAGGGAGTTTTGCATGATTGGTTTACTTTGAAACTAATTTACATGTAAAATCAACATTAAACAAGTACATCTTTCACCCATGTCTGTTTATAAACATGGAATTTAAAAAGTAGGCCAAAGAGAGATTTATTCATTAGCATGCATGGTTGGAGAGAAAGAGAGAGAGCTTTTCCTCCCATAGAGATGAATGAAAAACACAAAATATGCCATGTATGATGTAGATGTATGATTGGTTTAAATTGACATTTCTTGCTGAGTCCACTGCAAGTCTTTTTTTCTTTAAAAAAAAAAAACTTTAAGTCATGATGTAGTCAATAAGTGGACTTTTTAAAATTTATATGGGCAGTGTGAAGGGGACAATGCAAAGGATAGGAAAGGAGAAAAAGAAAGTAAAATAAAAAGATTTTTTTCTTTCTATAGCTGAAAAACTAGGAATCTTCCCTCCCCCAGCATCTCTTATCTAGCAGTATTGGATTAAATAGATTTACATTTAAAAAATTCCTTTTCCCCAGCTTTTTTCACAGTTCACAGAGCTGTTTTCATTTTCTTTTGCAGTGCACAGAAACTGCATCCCTTTCTTTTTTCGCTCAGGTGAGCATTTCTTGTCACATTTTATCCAGTGTCCATCTATCTGTCCATCTGTAAGCTTTTCACATTTTTGACTTTTTCTCCAGAACCACTGGTCCAATTTCAACCAATTTAAAAATCTTTTTCTCAAGAAGAATAAAGCCATGATTAGTCATAATGATAAATCTTCTTCTCCAGAACAGCAAAGCTGTTGGTTAATCTAATAAATATGAAAGCATCCTCAGCTAGTGTAGATTCAAGTTTGTTCAAATCACAACCCCTTGGGCTAGGGTGGTGTCAAAACGGGGAATCAAAAGTTTTACATAAAAATATATATAGAAGAAAATAAATCTGACACACAGCAGGGCCATATTAACTCAGGTGAGTATTGTGGCCAGTGGGCCTCTTGTTGTTTACTTTTTCAATTAATTTGATGCATGTACTCCATAAGCTTGGGCATATTCAATCATTTATCTTTTTTGTCTTTCTATACATTTTCACACATGGGAAGTCCATGTTTAAAATGTGTTAAAATATTAGAAATGATGTCCTATTTGTGGCAATAGGATACATTGGAATTTTGCACATTGAGAGCTTTGCTGTTCAATCAAGGAGTCAATCTGCCGAAGGAAATATCACCTCATATGGAGATTAAAGCTGAAACAACATCTAGGTTGATAAATCTTCATACCATTTTAACTAAGAGAAAAATACTAGATACATGTACTTTTGGACCTTCTGAAATGATGATAGTAATATTTCCTTATGTCTACTAGTAGTTGTTTGATTGTCTATAGGACATTTAATTAAGTATAAACCTATCTTTGATGTTGACTAATAATGACTGTAATAAAACTACTGGTTATTGGTTTGACAAGGGGCAGACGATCTATGATTGATTCGTATTCCATCACCATGCACCCGAGGTTACAAAGCATTACAGGAAAAGTTGCACCTACTTATGTGTTTAATAGCAGTGTAACTATCTCCATAATATCCAGTGATTTCTTAATAATCACTGTGAATCATTCTCATCTGATACACTATTAAGCTTTACTGTAAGTATTTGGTTGAAGAATGGGGTTTTTAAATGTTCTTTTTCTTTTCTTCATCTAAATTTCAACAATAGGAAAAAGAATTAATTAATTTAATTATTTTTTGTAAGTTTTGTAAGCTGCTAGATTTTAAGATATTTTTTGCATTTTTTGAAATTAAAGAATAAATATGTATAAGATCACCTTTCTATGTAGAAATTCTAAAATTGTCAATGCATGGCCATAAATCAGTGATTAGTTCCCTTTGAGGGTTTGCGTTACCTTCCCAAGATTTTTAAAATCTTTGAGAAAATGGTGATATAGCTTGAGTATTGATTGTTGTATATGTCAATCCTTCCTGAAGTCCTGCCAGATCATAAATTTGGAGGGCTCCCCGTGTATTCATTGTCACAGGTAGATAGCTTGCAGCCAGGTAGGAATTTGATTCGGATTACATTTACCATTATATTTCTTAACAAGAGTAAGTCATTATTGTGCGTGTACGTTTACTTCACTTCTTTTGATGAATTTCATGGCTAAGTTGGTAAATGGCACATATTTTTTTTTTTAAATGAATTCATATATTTGTATGCTAATTTGGTCTTTGTTAAGATGTTTGAAAAAATTTAAATGCCACTCTAAGGTCAAATTTTTGATAATTAACAATTCAAATTACACCTGGTCAACTTTTGTTCTTATTTTAATGTAATCAGCCAAAAGAAAAAGGGCAAGTTTCATCAAGTCTTCAAGAGGTATTGAAATATGTATAGAGATTTTTGTTACCCAGTAATAACGACCAGGTATGTTGACCTAGCCAGACGCACCCCAGTTTTATTATATCAGTTTAAAGAAAGACTCCAAATCAATAACACATTCCATCTGTGTATTGAACAAGTTATGTCACTATTCAGGGAGCACAATAACTTTTGAATGCATTTTACTGTGAACTAAATTTCAAAAAAAAAATGTATTGGTACACGTATTTTCATACTTTTTCATGTGATGGAAGGAATAAATATGGCTTATAAGAAATTAAAATGTTGAAGTCGTAAATGAGGAAGTAATATATTCCTTTCTCACTTGATTCTGTTTTACTGATTTCTGATAGATGCATATATCTTATAGGTTGGCAACATGTGTTGGGCCAGAATTGTTTTCTTTTTTGTGATAAATGGATTTTTTTCCATCATTTGTATCATTGATCTTGACAAGAAGAATGTTTGATATCTCTATGGATATAAATTTGCTTTAGCTTAAATTATATTGTGATATAATGCTCAATTTATACAACTTTGTAAGCTAAATTTGTTTTAAAATGTAGCATGAGAATTAGTGTTCTATTTTTGTCAAAGGAAATATTATTTCTGAATGTTGCTTTAATTTGGTACGATTTCTTGTTACAGAGGAACCCATCTGACTATTTAGCCAGGAAAAAGGAAAAAGAGGAAGAGGAACAAAGAGAGAAACAAAAGTTCCCACGACGATCCAAGAGCTCTGCAGACAAAGATTACACAGCCAAACGCAGAAGTTACATTCCAGACAGGAAGAATGAAGATAGTGATGCAGCTCGGGAGAAGCGATTAAACCGTCGGTCCCTAAACCTTGAAAACAGAACAGAGAAATCCAGGGCCCCTGACAGGCCACTGTCCTCGCATTTAAGGAGTGATAAACCAGAACCAAAATCTAGAACTCAGCCAGAAACCGAGACCTCAACATCCACAAGTCCCACTCGTCTAGCTTCTACAAAGAAAACTCGAGCTCCCCCTCCACCCTGTTCTCAAAGTAAAGAATCTAGAATCCCAGTACCATCTGGAGCAGGAAATCCGGAGAGACCTCCAAGAAGAAAGAAATCCAGCAGTGGTGAGGAACCTACATCACCAAAGACTACAGAGAGCAACAACCCTGGTTCTCCTAGATCTTCTTTTCTCTTCAGCGAAGATCAGCAGGGAAAACCCATTGAACCTGCACCTGTAGAAGAAGTCTTTGTGTCTGCTGTAGAATCTAATGTCTCTTGTTCTCCAGAAAGTGTATCTTCAGGTGTAATTCCAGAGGAGTCAGGAACTGAATCTGAACCACTTAACTCTGAAACAACAAGTGAAGAATGCATTACTGTGATAGGAAATAAAGCAAATGGAGAAACAGTGAATTCTGAACATCATCCAGATGAGAAGGAGAGTATTATTGTGAATCATTTAGATATAAAACTGATTGAAATTGTTCCAGAAGTTTCTGAAGAAAAGGAAACCACAAGCAAAGTTGTATCCTTTTCTAAGGAACATACTGAAATTCCAAATCCAGACACAGTATCTTTGTGTAGTATAGACTCAATCCCTCCAGATCTGCCAAATTCTGCACCACCTCCACTCCTACCAAAACACCCAGACACTGCTTCCATTGGAGAAGAAGCAATTGTAATTGAACAGGAAGTCAAAGTCATAGAAGAGGAAATTGTAAAAACTGAAGAGGTTACAGTAGAGAGTTCTGGACTGCCTAATTTTAGTGACATTAGTGTTAAAGACAATCTTGCTGAGGAATACAATTCTGAGAAAATGTCTGTTGAAGTAGATTCAATAGTACCTAGTGAAGATTCTTTGGAGATCAGCGCTTCATTGAAAGAAGAGAAAGAGTTTAAGGAGGTGGACTCAGATGCTGATTCCGATTTATCAGACATTCTCAATCAGAATGGCTCATTCACTCCAGGTAAGTTCATTATAAGTGGGACGAAAGCCATGTGAGGTTAAGGTATGAAAACTGAAAGTAGACAGTGATGTATGATTATTAGAGTTTTATGATGAACGGTAACATAAAAAAGTCATTTAGGCTCCAGTTAAGAGTGTAACTTATGATTTCTGATTATTCATTACAATGGAAAAATAGATTGTGTTATAGATAGTAAAAATCAAGCTTTTACATACCATACAATTTTGTCATCAGTTTAAAAAAAAATCAAATTGATGGATTTCAATGAATTGCACATTATGAATGATATAAAAGGTGTTTAGTTAACTTGTAAATTGGAATACATATTCAAGGTAAATTTGTAATGGAAGAAATCTGTATTTTTGAATCAGGAGATGACAAAACTGACCATCATATCCCTCTGAATCTGATGGACGATGAGATAGAAGACTGTGGTGAGATACAGCTTCTCTCTCACAGCACCAGTGTCCAGTCGCCCACATCTCAGGCAGACTCGGCCTTCGAGGACATGGTCAACTCCAACCAGGTGAGCCTCAGCAGCACCCTGGAGGATGTCAAGGATGAGGTCATCTCAGACACGGTGGAGCAGGTCAAGGTCACTCTGGCTGAAAGTGAGCCAACTTCCGAGTCCTTGCCATCAGAAGATGCCATGGTAACTAAGACTGAAGCCAAGCCTGAGTTTGTTCCCACTGCCTCTGAGGTGTCTTACCAGACTCATTCATCCTACGTAACGGAGGTACCACACACAGAGACCAAGATTTTTGTTAAAAAGGCACAGCAGTTTTCTGAGACTGTTAATCAGCCTCCCAAGATGACAATCCGATCCACTTCCAAGGAGATGTCTGATGAGCACCTGCAGAAGGTAGATGGAGAGAGGAAGGCTGTGATTAGTCAGTCCATGGTGAAGAGGAGGGGCATCACAGAGTTTGCAGTGGTTTCAGCAAATGATGGTAAGACTTTTTTTCCTACAGTCTTTAATGCAAAGTACTTGGATCTGTATACCTGTGCCACTGTAAAAAAAAAATTGAGGAGTACTTTCAAATCTATAGTACTTCATTCTTATTTTATTTCTTTTTTTTTTACTTAATTATCCACGTTACCTGAATTTATTTTTATGCCTCTATTCATTACTTACCTGTACGATCAAAGAAAGATAACCCTCACGTTTTCACAGCTGATTAATTCGGACAGATAAAAGGATTGGCATATTTGAAAAGAGCTGTATTTATTAAATAACTTGATTCTAACAGAGAGAGAATGTAATTGAACTTTTATACAGTTTGTACAATTAATTTATTCAATGGCAAGATCACGTTGATTCACGTCTTCAGGTGCAGACCATACAGGTAAAGTTTGCTAACCTGTTTTCCCATTTTAGAACCTGTTTAAGGATTTGACAATGATATGTGCTTGTTTTTTTGCTATTGTCACCTTGAGGTAGGACAGTTTCAAAACTTAAATTAAGGTTTTTTTTCTTATTTTCTTCATTTCCTGGTTGTGTTATGAGGTGGATCTATTTGTGTTTATGAATTATGACATGAAAGCTTTTTCTTGCGGAACTTATATGCAGACAACTTTTTAAAATGTAGACACTGTAAGGTTGGTTAGTTTTTTTTTAATATTTGGGTTTTAAAACTATTGTTAAGGGATTTTATGGTATTTTTCTGTTCTTTTTTTCCCATAACAATTGAAATGTATCTTGTACTGTATTGAAATGATACTTTCCCAGACTGCCAACTATTGTGTATGTATGAAGATATTTCACTTTAATTGTCAAGATTTTTTAACTTAAATTCCTTCTTGAGAAGTTAGCAAATTATACAATGATTATGGTTATACTTAAAATTTCAAATAAAGAAAATGAGAATTATTAGCATATCAGGTGATTTAATGCAATAACAGACCAGTAATAATGTATTAACATTATTTTACAATCACTTTTGTCCTAGGAACAAAAAGTATCATACTAGCTAGAATGCACGAGTTCTATTATGATTCAGTTCTTTAAAAAAGAGGAATTTAAGTTATGTAACTCAGACAAAACTGGTGAAATTGTCTGAGTCAGTGTCTAATTCTTGAAATTATGAAAACAGATAAGCACAAGAATGTTGTTAAATGTAAAGAATCAAACACTTAGGTTGTGGCCTTGTCTTATTCCTCCATTGACACTATTGTGTGCTAATTGACCAACAAACATGATTAAATCAACAAGTTGTTTAAATTCCTTTGGCTATTTTCTGAGGGCTAAAGTCTTTGACAAACTGAAATGGTCAACTGTTGTAGGCATTAGATAACCATCACTTCACATGTCTTATTATCTCCTACACAAAAAAGCCAGGGTTGTTGAGGGGAGATGGGTCATTGCTTGCTAGGGGGTTGATGTAATATGTAAAGAGAAAAAAAATCCCACTTCTTTTCCATTCACTTTAAGGAGCCCTTACCAAACAGGTTAGTTTTCCTTGCTTCCTTATTTGATTTTCATTGCTGTAATTTTTATATGTGACCAAAAAAGTATATAATACCATGGAATTGATTTAGTTCTTTAGATTTTTAATTATTAATTAAAGGCTTAGCAAGTAATTTTACAAGTATCAATGTAAATAGCTGCAGCATGATGTTTTGTATTGATTACAATGTTCATCTAAGTTTACACACACATGCAGTGGAGGTAAATTAATACTGTGTTAACGATTTCGCTATTTAGGTTTGAATTTCACAAAGAACTGCTTTCCAAGCAGTAGAAAAAAAGTGACATTGGGTTACAATTTGTAAAGAAAGGTATTGTTTGAAAGAATTGATTTCATCTATTGATTTTGAAGCAGATATATACTTAACTTTGAAAAGTCTTGAGTGATATGGGTAGTTGGTATTCTAAACAGACTTCTGTATTCAGGTGGTGGATGGTCGTACATATTATTGGATTGTCTTTGCTGAGACAGTTTCTAAGTGACTTATCACCTCACTGAATAGCCATGTTTGTTACCGAATTTATGCCAAATAAGCGTACTGAATGGGTGCTATAGAAGGGTGTGTAAGGCTTTTATGCGACCCAAGATAAAACAGGAACTTGGCAGGATGCCGGGTACCATCTAGCCGTACCTTTGTAATGTGATTACACATGGGACAAAAGTTAACTGCAATTCACTGGAATTGTGGATCTCCGAGATTCTTGAGATTGTTTTGTTTATCTGAGCATATATAAGGACAATAATAGCCAGTATCTACTTTCATTTTTAAACTTACCTGTATAATCTTTTAATTTGTCTAATCACATTACCTGCGATATTAATCTACTTGTCCAAATGTTGATTTTGGCTATTGTAATCTTGTAAATTAGTGTTATAAGTGCAGGAACAAATTCATACATGGTGTAATATTGTAAAATTGAGCCATTAGTTATGAGAATAGATCTGTGATCAATATCCAAAACCCGTGGTTGGCAGCCGGTGAAGAAGTGCCAGGATGCGGATATATTATGTGCAGAAAACAGGTGAGATAATGGACGTAACTCTGTTTCCAAGATCAACATCATAAAATGGCACTTATAGTATTCCAATCCTTGATGGGTTCTGGATGTCGATATTTCATAGCCTCAAGGGTAATGGAACAAAAAATACTATGCTGAAAAATTTGCAGTCTACTTAATTTGTAAGTAAATCGGGCTTGAGTTTAAGATACTTCAAATTTATTTCCAGAGAATTATGTGTCATTTTGAAATTATTTGCAAATTAATTTCAGTTATTTTATAATGTGTATTGATTAAAATTTTCTTCTAGTTTCAAAAAAAAAAAAAAAACATTGAAGTAGATCAAAATATATATATACAGATGGATTAAACTAAAATTTGTTAGGAAGTGAAAAAATTTTGAGGTCTTAATTATTTCTCTTAAATAAACACAAGAACAAAGTGAAAACAATTAAGTGGTAATGAACTAAGTCATTAAGAAGGGGTAATTATCGTCACTGACAAGGTAAGTGAGGTTAATTGGCATTTTACAGAATTACAGGTGTAATTAGGTAAAGCCTTAGTTACCTATGCAGAAATTCGATTTCCTCAGTTCTGCTGAGGTGGTCAAGGAGTTGGTCACTTTGGTGTTGTAGTGTGCTGCAGTTTGGGGAACTGAAAGAGGGGAAAAAATCATTGTCTTAATTACTTTTGGTAATTCTTATCCACGTCCTAGATCTACCTGTATTTTAGGTATTGATCATACATATATAATTCTGCATCTATCCTGGAGATTGTTAACAAATCATGGCAGTGGCTGAGGACAACAAAATTAAGATAACAGGTAATGATGGATTGTTATCTGTTTCCTTTTATTGTAGTGCATGGACAATTGTGTACTGATGTGTCAACTATTTGTGTTATGTAGGATTTATCTTATCAAGGTATATGGGTATATTTGTATTCATACCTCTAGCTATACTGGTCTGGATGTTTCAGGAAAGACTAATTATTAATTAATGGACACTCCCCAGTCTTCTCCCTTTCTCATTTATGGTATGTAGCCGGTCTCAAGACATCATTTACTTGTTTAAGACAACTTTGTGGATTTATTTTATTCTCAAAATTTGTGCACATCAATTTCGGTAATCCTATATTGGTAAAGTTGTTTGTAGAGCTTGGCAAGCAAATATTTTTTGATTTAATATGGTTTTGTTATTATTATGAAATTCAGTTCATGTAGATTGGACATTTATATGGTGAAGGTTTTTCATTTTGAGGACATTTATATTATGCAGGGTATACATTTTGATATAAATTGAATCTTGTTCTTAAAGTAAAAACATTGCAAAAAGGCCTTTTCATTTTAAAATATTGTTATACATTCATACAATAGTGATTCTCTTTCTTTTGTTTAACATCAGGTGGTTTAATAATTTAAATATGTCATTTCTCTTCCACTTTTCCCCCCCAAAAAATAATGTTAATGCTTTTTCATATCAACAGCATAGGGAAAATGCTAAAACTGCTCTTAATTCTGCAGATATATATAATCCTCTGAATAAATTTTGCATAGAATTAATATAGGCCATAGAAAGCAATAGTGTAATTGAGCACTGAGCAGTGAATGTCATTGTATATCTATACAAAGGTTTATGCCCATGGTATCTAAAAATTCATTATCTCACCATCTTAACCAGTAGAGATATGTGTGGAAATTTAATTTATAGTCAGTCTGGAGGGGTTTTAAAATAATCAGAAAGTCTAAATACCCTAAAATTTATGACAAATGAACATGAATGGAGGCATGATGAGAGATTACAGACATTAATGTTTTAATCTGTAGACAAATCAAGACATGTAGGATATATTATATTAAAAACTTTCTGTTGGGGAACAAGCTCGTTGCCCACACTCACAGCAGATTTAATAAATGAGATAATATTCATGTATGTAAGAAACAGCAACTGCATTAATATATGCATATTTATTATTCTTTTATGGGGGAGTTTTTTAAAATAAGGTGAAAAGATGTGGGACAGAGACCTGGTATAATTTTTACATTTTCTGCATATCAAATTGATATTTGATATGATTTCTTTAATATCTTAAAAATGTCTGCATATGCAGTGATATATATGTTGTGTTACTTGGAAGGGCAAGATTTTTGGCCTTTGTGTTGGTTGTCATGCAAGCTCGGGGCAATGGCAAGACACTAAGGCCAGATGTAACCTCCAGGCCTGTTGGTCGTTATCAGAAGGGTTGACATTAATTTTTTCACCCTTTCTAGACAATATTTCCTGAATTGTCAGAGATGTACCTACATAATTAATTTTACCTGGCCAGATTAACGAAACAAACAGTGGCCACAAGTATAGGGTGAGGCTTATCTAGATTGGAGTGAAAAGTTTGAACAGTTTCAAACCAGGTGCATCAGAGAGATCGAGATACAGGGTCTTCCAGTATACCTGACTAAAGAGGGAGATTATTCAGTGAAATACACCTGCTTATATATCAAACATTGGGCAAAAGCCCTATTTAGTTGACTTTATAATTTCTCTGACTTTGTGGCCGAGGAATACTTTTTTGCTAAGTGCTAAACAGTATGAAATTCAAAGGAGACTGAATTTGCATGAGGAATTGATTTATATGAGCAAATATTTGTGAGATTGTTGTTAATGTTATGAAATGGCAGACATTGAAACCTTTTCATCAAATGCGACTCTAATTCTTCATATTCCTGAAACAGGTAATGCAAATACTCAACACAAAAGTGCCTGGCCCTCTGAAAAAAAGTGTTGATCAGTCAAAGAAAGGGACGGCTGAAACCTCCAGTTATTCTACTTTTAAACCATTGGTTTGAATGAAAAGTAAACATTTGAGGAATTTAATTTTCAAAGAATTTCATTCTTTTCAATATGTGATTAAAAGATAGAATATAACAAGAATTTAAATACAACTAAGTAAATATTGAAAATTCTTAAGGAAGGATATATATATGGGTAAGTGAATTATTATTGTCGGAGTATGAATATTAAAAAGAACATGCATGATCATACCCAAGTGACATCATCAAGTCCTAAAAAAGTCGCATGTTTAAAGCTGTGCTATAAGTAGAGGGACTTCTTATCTTTCTGTCTGTCAGACGGATATCCAACAGGTAGGTAAACATTTTAACACCGCCCGACCAGGTAACTCCCGTTTACGTCACTGTCCTTAATTTTGCATTCGATTAAAAGAGAAGCCATAACTGTTTTAGTGCAATGATAATTTGCCGGAGGTGTCATTGGTGAAGCATTGTGTGCTTCGCATGTGCATATATATCTGACAGGTATTAAAGATTCATATTTTTTTTATTTTTCATTTGATGACATTGTGATTTAAACCTTCAGGTGTACTTGCGTGTAATTAATGTGTCTGAGTCACATTCTTTTTTTACTTAGAGGAAGGTGGATGTACATTTAGAGGTTATTAGATTACGTTTAAAATCTTCTAAGAAAACTTTTGGATTAACTCACTAGACTGTGTGAATTAGAGGATTAAAAATAACACTTAATTTGACTGAAGAATTTTGATGGTATGTCTCTGTGTAGTACATTTACCCTGAAATGAATCAGTGTATTTATCTAATGTTAGATAGAGTTACCTGTTTGAACGTCTGCTTCTGTTTGTCTTGGGAAAGGTGGCTTAGGATTTTATTGATTTGTTTCAGATCTCATAGGGAAACAAAAGTAGGCATGCATGGTTGATAGAAATGTATGGACTGAAAATCTGCCAGTGATCAGCACTTTTTTACCAATTTTCTTTGAAACAGGTTGAAAGTTGAAGTCTTGATTTGAAGTTTATTTAAGAAAATTATGTGTTTCAGAGAGTAAGCAAGCAGATGTCAAAAGCAGTGTTGTATTAGAGGTGAATGACAACAAAGATCTTCATTCACCAGTGAAGTCCAAAGGAGCACCTATAAACTTTGATGAAGTACCTCCCAAAGTAGACCTTTATAGTCAGAATGTTGTACAAGAAGATGGAAATACGGACACTGTAAACAGGGAGTCCATAGCAGACTTAAACTCCACTAGGAAACAGTGGGAGACCATCTTACAGAGTTCTGGCAAATCTGACCCAAGTCCTGCAAAGGTAACTCCCAAGAAATCAGGCACACCAGTCAAACATTGGGAAGTAAAACTTCCTTATAAGCCCAATTCATCTTCCAAAGCTATTCCTCAACCAGAAGTCGAAGACGCACAGCCAAAAAAATCATTCAAAATGGAGGACGACCCTTACGCAAATGAAAGTGCAATCGAACGTGAAATTCGTCTTGCAAACGAAAGAGAGGAGATGTTGCGAAAAGAACAAGAAGAACGCATGGAACTTTCCAAACGACAGAATGCTTCTAAAAATCAGGTCAATACGAAAATGTTTGAAAATGAAAACAACAACACCGAGTTTAAAACAATGTACCATGAGATGACGGAGGCTGATCGGGGATCAGAGCTTCAGAAACGAGAGACATTGATTCAACAGGAAATTGAGGAGCAGAAAGAAAGAGAGGAGGCCTTGACAACAAAGCCCCCACCGGCTGTCACCCCTCAGGTTAGTAAGGGTCAAATCACACATAAATTCTCTTGATTTCAGGTAACAAATCCAATATTAATTGAACCATGTAAGGTGCATGATTGTAGCTATTCTGTGTAGAATTTATCGTGCTGAATATAAAGGAATATAAAAGGAAATATTTTATGATGAATAATGCATGATGAGAGAATATGTGTTACTATAAATTATTAATGTGAAAAATATAAGCAACCACTGACTTGTAGATTAAGCACATAAATGTACATGTATGTTAAATAGTGAAAAGGAGGCTTGAAAAAAAATAAATTTTGATGAAAGCATAAGTTAACAAATTACAGTGGGGGTGCTGTTTGACCAATTGAAAAGGCTGTTTGATAAATCTCTAAAGATGAAAATAAACTATTACCGGAAAACTCTTCAGCAATTGCATTAAACGCCTAGTAACGAAAAATTCTGATAAAAAGAAAATTCAGCCATCCTACACAAATTTTACTTGATGTGTGTCATTTAACAAGTCAAAATATTGGCATCCAATGAAATTTACAACCTACATACCTGTTCAATAAAATCTTGGCTGAGATTTGACCCAGCCCAAGTTTGTGTGCATAATGGAGTTGGATAACGTATTTGTTGGGTATATAATGAAACACACTGAAAGTTTACGGCTTTTTACCTGATATCATTAAAGATTACTCAATTACCTGGTAGGTTAAAAATTTTAAAATGTGTATGTTTTTTACAGTTTAAAAGCATGTTAAAATAATTGTTGAAGATTGATTTTGTGAGATTAAATGATAAAGTTCTACTTTAGAAATGTAGCTAAATGGGTTTTTGTTCCAATTAAGAGCCTCCATCATTTTAGAATTATTTGATTTATAAATATAAAACCTTGAAAAAAAGATTTTTTTTTTAATGAAAAAAAAACAACTACCGTACATATTGTTATATATGTTGTAGATGATTTATGGCTTTTATTTAAGTATTGCATTAGCCGTCTTATTCTTTATCAATATACCTTGAATGAAGCTTTGTGTGTGTGATTGATTTTATTGGCAACTCACACATGTTACACTGTTTTAACAAGGACTGAATATTTTTATCCACAGGATGAAGAGAATCGAGATAGCAGTAGAGAGAGCCTCATTGCCAAGGAAATTCGTCTCCAGAAAGAGCGAGAGGAAGAAATCGCCAAAAGACACTCACTGAAGAAAGAGCCAGAAGTAAAAGATATAGAACCGGAAAAGGTGGAACCAGTTTCAAGAGAACCGGAAAAGATGGAGGCACCAGTGACCAACAATAAGCAAGTCACATATGAAGAGGCAATTCAAGAACCTTTTCATCATGAAGGAGAAAGCCTTATCGCAAAAGAGTTACGAGAGGCAAAGGAGAGGGAAGAGGAAATTCGTAGGATGAGAGAGCGAATGCAGGGAGGTAACAAGCCTAACCCTGCTCCTGAAACAACAATCAAACAACCACCCAAAACACCTACACAAGAAACAGTGAAAAAGACATGGCAACAATCTCCAAGTGTTCAGTCCCCCAAAATTTCTAGTCACACCCCTTCACGCTCCGTGCGTGTTCAGCCCATTGCAGACTCGGCAGAAGAGGATGAGACAGACTCCAAGCCGGTGGAAAGGAAGGAAACTCCTATTGAACGTGAAATCAGAATAGCAAGAGAAAGAGAAAATGAACTGAGGCGTCAGAAAGGACTGCCATTACTTTCTGAGGTCGTTAAACCAGCAGGGGATGATGTCTCGGAAAAATCCTCAGTGAATGAAGAACCTGTGTCATATAATTACAGAAACAAAGTCAACACAGCGGAGGGAACCAAATCCATGAGAAACTTTGCAACATCAAGGCTACAAAATGAAATTTTAAAACAGAAAGAGAGGGAACACAAGCTTCGAGATGAGGGAAAGATTATTTCAACTTCTGAGGAACACATAGGGACATTAAAATATGCAGAAGTTGCTGGGATTCCTAAAAACGAAGGACCAGTGAAAAGAAATTTTGTAACCAGGAAAAGTACATCAACCCTTCCTCCCCCTGGTGATAGTCCAAGTTCATCAAACACCCCATCCGAAAATGGTGATGTGGAACCCCCAAAGATGTCTCCACAGATCAGCAAGGAAGAGCCAGTCAAATACAAGAGGCCAACTGTTAAAACTGGTGGGGCCTCTTTTTCATACAGGGAGTCTAGAAATCAAGCCGAGTCCAAAATTGAGAAAGAACTGAGGGAGATGAGGGAGAGAGAGGAGGAACTGAAGTAAGTTCTATTGAGGAAATCAAATTTATTAAGATTTTTCATACTCAGCTATGATTACTTTTGTGGTTAAGTTCTAATTGTCATTCTTTTAAATAATTCTTATATGTATGCAGTGATTGATATATTTGTCTAACATTTATATGGCTGCATAAGTTAATTCTCGCAAATCATGATTAATTATCAAAAAAATGATTTGCCTTTATAAAGATGTAACTAACAAGGAAGTAAATTTAAATATTTTTTTTTAAATTAATTTCTAATCATTTTCCTGTGAAAAAGACAAATGTTAGCAGTTCCTTATTATTTTTGTATTTTACAATCTTACCATACTGACTGTTTAATATGTTCTTTTTTGAAAGGAAATCGAGAGGCGGTACACTGAGCCCACCTACAAGTCCGAGGGACAATAATCTCAGCAGCCGGAAAGCACAGTTTGAACAGGTGTGATCAGTATACCCAGAGTTCAACAAGGTCAACATTACCAATAGTTGTGGGTGTATGAGTCACATGATTTCTAAAATTATCAAAGCTTCGTGAAAATATTATTCAAGAAGGAACCATATTGGTAGCTATGCTTCAATACAAATACTAGAATCTTACCAGTTTTGAAAGCTGTTATGTATTGATGATAAGGAGAAGAGCTGTATGGACTCTGTGATATATACTTTATATTTTTTAATATCAAACTGAACAAAGAGAGATGAGGTTACTGTGGTCAGACCAGTACAATATTTTACTGCCACAAATATCAAATGATGGAAATGGCTTTTTTACCGCATTAGGATGAAATATTTGTACATATATTTTAAATATTTTAAATTTTTTGATTTCCATGTATTATGTAATATAACAGTATTACCACACACATTTGATTATGCTTAATTTTTGCAAAACATATATTATGTAATGTGGGTTATGATTTAAATACATATTAACTGTTATGGAATGCATGCAAAAAGTTGACAAAGATTTCTTGTTTGCTTTGCAAGTGTGAATACTATGTATCCAGAATAATGCTTGAGAAAAAAAAATCATTTCATTTATACATTTATTTCCAGGCAAATATAGTACAATCTCATTCATAGCTTGGACATTTGTTAGGTAGTGACTTGCTTAAAACTTGAGTCACAGTTTTGTGATACAGACATGCTGGACAAATTTGCATCTGGGTATTTTTAGCACCAGAAAAGTTGGCCCATTTCAATGAGTTTTTCTTCAAACAGGAAGTGATGCATTGGTCATCTTTTTCATCTGCCAGTAACACAACAATGTCCAACCTATCAGTGAAAATCTCCTGTTCATGTCAAAAGATTAATATTATTGTTATAGCTTTTCAAATTTCATATTTATTCAGAGATAAATCTTGATTTAAATTTTGTACAGGTTCATGAATTCTACATGAATCAGACCCCAATATGATGCTAATTTTATTTATGTACCACACACACACTATATATAAAAGTGTAATAGTGCAAATAATCAACCTTTTTATTGCCATGTTATGATATTAAATAATTATATTGTTAATAAAATTGTACAATATATATGTTATTTTTGAATAAAATATATCTGCCATTATAATAAGTGATTTCCGTATATGTATATTAGGATAGCGGAAAGGAGGGATTCTTTAAGGAAGCTCTGATTAAAGCTCATTTCTCGGAATGGAAAACAGCATGCACAAGATAGGCTGTGAGACATGTCCCTTTTTTTAGGTCACCTGAGTCACTCAGGTGACCTATTGCTATACGTTCTCGTCCGTCGGCGTGCGTCGCACGTTAACATTTGAACATTTTCAGCTTCTCTGATACCGCTTAACCAATTTCAACCAAATTTGGCATATAGCATATATGGGTGAAGGGGAACAAAAATTGTGAATTTCATGGTCCCTGCCCCCCTGGGGCCTGAGAGGTGAGGCTAAAACCACCAAAAATAATGCAATCTTTAAAAATCTTCTTCTTTACTCCTGGAAATCAAGCAGTCAAACTGTTGGCATCATTGTAATAAGCATGGAGCCCTCTACCAAAATTGTGAAATTCATGGCCCCAGGGTCAGGGGTTCTGGCCCCAGGGTGGGGCTATAATAGATCATATAGTGAAAGTGCATTATTTCTTTGAAAATCTTCTTCTCTGCTCCTGGGTATTAAATAAGGGAACTAAGTAATAGTTATGAAGAGCAAGAGTGCCTCTTCCAAAATTGTGAAATTCATGGCCCCAGGGTCAGGGGTTCTGATGTTAGGGCATGGCTCTATAGATTATATAGTGAAAATGCATTAAATCTTTGAAAATCTTCTTCTCTGCTCCTGGGTATTAAATAAAGTAACTAAGTACATAGTTATGATGAGCAAAAGTGCCTCTTCCAAAATTGTGAAATTCATGGCCCCAGGGTGAGGGGTTCTGGCCCCAGGGTGGGGCTATATAGATCATATAGTGAAAATGCATTATTTCTTTGAAAATCTTCTTCTCTGCTCCTGGGTATTAAATAAAGTAACTAAGTACATAGTTATGAATAGCAAGAGTGCCTCTTCCAAAATTGTGAAATTCATGGCCCCTGGATCAGGGGTTCTGGTGTTAGGGCGGGGCTCTATAGATTATATAGTGAAAATGCATTAATTCTTTGAAAATTTTCTTCTCTGCTCCTGGGTATTAAATAAAGTAACTAAGTACAAAGTTATGATGAGCAAGAGTGCCTCTTCCAAAAGTTTGAAATTCATGGCCCCGGGGTTAGGGGTTCTGGTGTAAGGGCAGGGCTCTATTGATTATATAGGGAAAATGCATTAATTCTTTGAAAATCTTCTTCTCTGCTCCTGGGTATTAAATAAAGTAACTAAGTACAAAGTTATGATGAGCAAGAGTGCCTCTTCCAAAAGTTTGAAATTCATGGCCCCGGGGTTAGGGGTTCTGGTGTAAGGGCAGGGCTCTATTGATTATATAGGGAAAATGCATTAATTCTTTGAAAATCTTCTTCTCTGCTCCTGGGTATTAAGTAAAGTAACTAAGTACATAGTTATAATGAGCAAGAGAGCCTCTTCCAAAATTGTGAAATTCATGGCCCCTGGATCAGGGGTTCTGGTGTTAGGGCAGGGCTCTATTGATTATATAGTGAAAATGCATTAATTCTTTGAAAATCTTCTTCTCTGCTCCTGGGTATTAAATAAAGTAACTAAGTACAAAGTTATGATGAGCAAGAGTGCCTCTTCCAAAATTTTGAAATTCATGGCCCCGGGGTTAGGGGTTCTGGTGTAAGGGCAGGGCTCTATTGATTATATAGTGAAAATGCATTAATTCTTTGAAAATCTTCTTCTCTGCTCCTGGGTATTAAATAAGGGAACTAAGTAAGTACATAGTTATGATGAGCAAGAGTGCCTCTTCCAAAATTGTGAAATTCATGGCCCCAGGGTCAGGGGTTCTGGCCCCAGGGTGGGGCTCTATAGATTATATAGTGAAAAAGCACTAATTCTTTGAAAATCTTCTCCTCTGCTCCTGGGCATTTAGGTGATAAACTAAGTATATGGTTATGATGAGGAGGTGGGTCCCTTCCAGAATTGTGAAAGCCATGGCCCCTAGGTCAGGGTTCTGGTGTTGGGCGGGGCTCTATTGATTATATAGTGAAAATGCATTATTTCCTTGAAAATCTTCTTCTCTGCTCCTGGGTATTATTTAAACAAACTAAGTGCATGGTTATGATGCATAAGGATGCCTTTTTAAAAATTGTGAATTTCATGGTCCCAGGGTCAGGGATTCTGGTGTTAGGGCGGGGCTCTATTGATTATATAGTGAAAATGCATTGATTCTATGAAAATCTTCTTCTTTGCTACTGGAGATTATTTAAACAAACTAAGTGCATGATTATGATAGGCAAGGATGCCTCTTCCAAAATTTTTAAATATATGGCCTCAGTTTTTGGGGTTCTTGAGGGGGGGGAGGGGGGGTCTATTGATTATATAGTGAAAATGCATTAATTCTATTAATTAATCATTAATTAATCCTGTCTGCTCCTTCGTGTTGAGCTGATAAATAAATTTCTTAGCTATGATGAAAATGGGAGCTTCGAACAGAATTTTTAAATCTTGTGGTCCTAGGGTCAGAGGTTCTGGCATAACGAGGAAGGGGGGGGGGGGGGCTTTTGATAATATAGTGGAAAAGTGTTAATTCTTTGAAGTCCATAGTTATGATGATGAGGGTAACTCTTCCAAATTTGTAAATTTCTTGACCTTTGGTCTTGGGTTCTGGTGTTAGGGTAAGGCTTTGTTGAATCTGTAGTGAAAATGCATTGTACCTGTGAAATTCTTCTCTGCTTCTGGGCATATCAGAAGCAAACTGAGTAAAAGTTTAAATGATATAAGTAAGCGTATTTCTACCAAATTTTTGAACATCTGGACCATTTGTCTAAGCATTCTGGTCCTGGGCAGGGCTCTATTAATTTGTATTCTACTGAGAGAATTTATTCCCCTTTTCCATTCACCTTTGATAATTAATCACTGTAAATAATGTATTTGAAAGGTTAATAGAATAAGATAATTATGCAAGAATGTTAATCGTATAATTCAAAAAGTACTTTCTTAGTTTTAATAATCAGGTAGACCTGTAAGTAATAGATAAATAAAAATGAGACAAAAATAACTTATTTTATTAAAAGTTCTTCAAAGACCATAAGAGAGGTCAATGCTAGAGGTCTTAATATGGGTTTAAAAATAGTACAGAAGCACTAATAGTTTGTTAATAGTCTGCATGGTGATAGTGTTAAGTGGGGGACAGATTAAACTTAAGTTATGAGTTGATACTGAATACTAGACTAATTATTTTGTTTATGCTGATCTTCCTACTTTTCTTGCTTTAGGGCAACAAAGCTTCATCTATCAGTGTATTTAACTTCTAAATTGTTGTATTATACTCAGGTGACCGTTAAGGCCCTTGGGCCTCTTGTTCTTTTTTATATTAAAAATGAAAGAAGAAAAGGAGATCATGTACAGAGTTTTGCTGAAATTTTGAAACTTTCAATTTTTTCCAAAGATGGGGTCCACAGAACAACATCATGGAGCAACAGAACTTAAACGAAAGTGATAAACTTTCGATTTGAAATTACAGAGAACACGGGGCAATAAGACTTAGAAAAGTAGTGTTTAATGCAGAGTATACATCTTTAATGGTTAAAAAAATGATGGAAAAATTACTGCCTTAGAACTCATCTAGTTAATTTATAAGGAAATAAAAGTTTTGTACTACGAAAATGTCTCTGGAGGTCTTGGACAATGTGTAAAAATTTAATCACCGGGATTAACGAATGTATTTTTAATTGATTGTAAATTTTAAAAAAATCATAAAAAGAGCGTATCTCGAGGAAAAGGTCATTATTGTCATATCGACAATACTTGAACGATCCTCTCCCATTCTGGCCGGTAGGATAGATCCAGACCGTGGCTTGAGACGACGGAGACGTCCGTTTAAAACTTATATATCTATGAGCAACTGTTTACATAGGTGGATGCTTATCTTTTGAACTACACATGCCCAATTCAGGCTCGTAGAACGTTGGAAAAGGGGGGGTTACTTTTTTCTTCGTATAGTTTTTGCTATAGTAAATTTTCCTTTAGATGCTGCCCCCCCCCCCCAACTTTGTGATGTTGTAAGGTTGAGCACAGGCAAAGCCAGGATTTGGACAGTAAATTTTGGTGTCACACTGGCAAGCTCCCTCGGTAGTACAGAGCCCCCTGGTGGGTCCAGGGGTTGGGGGGGGGGGGGAGAGGGTATTATTATTTATTTTTTTTTTTTTGAAGTTTTTTTTCTTTTTGGGTTGTTAGATAATATTTGGAAGTTGCCCCCCCCTCTTTTGGTCAGTGCATTTTTGTTTTTGTTTGTTTGTTTGTTTTGTTTTGTTCTGTTTTGTTTTTTGTTTTTTTTTTTGTTTTGTTTTGTTTTTGCCTGTCAGATTATTTTGGGAAGTTGCCCCCATGTACACGCCTGTAATTTTCAACAAAAACATACATTTCACTGAACAAAAAAAGAAAAATTATCATACAGATACTTCCTTTTAATAAGTCCCTATTTATTTATAAATATAAACATACACCATACATTTATATAGTAGATGGACAATAGTTGTACACGTAAATATTCTAAACTGAGGTAATATTTTTCAAGTTGATATGTAAAGTGCTGTATTTTTTTTTTTCAAATGAAACATTTTTCTTCTTGCTATTTATTCACTCTTGTGTTTTATCACCTCTCCTAACCCCAGGCTCAGAATATTTGCAGAAGCCTTACATACTGTTCTGGTGTGTCTATGTTGGAGTCTGGGGAGCTTGACTGTTCAGTGTATACTTAATTTAACGAGAGCTGATTCCAAAGTATCTATAAGATAAAGAGGGGGTGGGTCATTGGCGTAGTTGAAGCTATTTTAACGCCAAAACATGCACGAAGAAAGACAACTCTATTTAAAAACGTGAGCAGGGATGCAGCATCGTTTTTCAACCAAAAAAAGGGGGGGGGGGGCAGAAGATGTCTGATTTTTTTTTTTTTTTTTTTTTTTTTTGTTGTTGTTCACAAAAAAAAAACAACAACAAGAAAAACAAACGAACAACAAAA